GGAGAGAGGAGGGGAAGGAGAGGAGGAATGAGGATGAGGAAGAGGCAGCTGCTGCACTGTGGGTATGGTTTGTCAGAGAACTGAACTGTTTATTATACTACCCAGGTAAATCTCCTGCCATCCACATCTTTATCCCTGACTCCTCTGTTTCTTGTCCACTAATCCAATTTATGACCCAATGGATCAAGTAGCCTTTAGTCCCATGGTAAAGGGCAGGTCTTCACAAGACTTAGCAGAAGACCATGAGTTATTTCTCAGAGTGTGGGTTTTCACGAAAGCCCTGGAGATTTTAATTCTGTTGGCATTTGCCATGGGCTCCATATAGAATTTCTATTTGTTCATTCAAGTATCATTGGATCTGCTGGGTCTGAAGCTCCAGGTGGCCATGCAGCTAGCACTAAGGCCAGGCTTGCTTCCAGCCTTTCATGCTCTGGTCTCTGGATTATGGATTACTTGGTAAATGGGTTGGTAAAATACCACTCCAGATCCAAATGGCTACCAAGCATTGTGCTTCACCACCATGGAAAGAAATGAGAAATAGTAGCTTGCCTTTGGTCATGACATGGCTGTTGCAATATGTTCCAGAAAATTAGAACATCAGAAACATTGTTTTTTACTAAATCTTTTACTAAATCTTGGAGGCTATTTGCTGCTACCCTAGAGCAAATCTGCATTGTCATTAATGAAATGGACTAGCATGATGTTCAATGGGAATGCATAATGCTCAGGTTCAAGGTCAGACAGGGCTACATAGGAAGACTCTGTCTTTTTTATTGGTTTTCCTTTTGACTTTTTTTTCCTAAAGAACATGTTTTACTTTTACACTGTAACTCACACATGTGGCACTTTGCAACCGTCTCAGGTCAGAAGCTCAGCTTCTCTGTCCCCATGGCATGGAAGGTGTAAGTCAAAGAAATGAGTATGCACACATATGTAGTTTACTGTGGGCGAAAACATCTGCCAGGTGTGAGTTGAGTAGACCTAACATGCAGAAGTCTTTTCTGAGTGTTCCTTACATGCATTGAACTCTCCCAGATACAAACAGTTGCAGACCAAGCTCAGTTCAAGAATACAGTTCATTCCCATTTCACTTCCTAATCTGAGGTTTCTGCTTTTTCCTCCCAGCCAAAGGGCAGAGATGAAGACTTTACTTTCCCTTTGCTCTCCCATGATTACACTGGCAGAAACGTGGCAAGTCCTGACCACATCTTCTCCTCAAAGCTTGATTCTACAAAACAGTTTGAGGCACTCCTTTAAAAAAATATGTCTGTTTTGCTTTGTGACCCTGGTCTCACTCTGCCACCCCTATGTAGCTCAGGCTTGCCCCAAACTCATAGTAGTCCCCCTTCCTCAGCCTCATAGGTGCTGGGATTACAGGCATGAGCTAGTGATGCCCAGGATTTTAGTTTCTGAACCATGCATTTGAAAAGTGGTCTTAAGGGCTTTTCCTTCCTTTCTTCCTTCCTTCCTTCCTTTTCTCCTTCCTTCCTCCCTCCCTCCCTCTCTCTTTCTTCCTTTCTCTCTTTCTTTCATTTGATTCTAAAAATGAAATCTCTCCAGCCACAGCCCTGCAAGTTACCTCTGGAATCTGGTTGGAGCATTTCTGGCCACTTCCTGTTGAAGACATGCATGCAGTGTCTATTTTGGTCTAACTTCATTTCTGCCAGAGCTCCAGTCCTTTCAGGGCTTCAGCTTTCCTGAAACCATCTGCTCTGGAGTCTCCCTCTGCTTCCTTCCCTTCCCATGGAAACTACTCTATCCAGGCACTATGAGAGGAACTTGTGCCCAGGGTCGAGGGGTGAGGTCACCTCAGCTCCCTCCCACTAATGTAACCTGGGAAAGACCCGTCACTGTGCTCCACTTCTCTCTGCTGCGCAATGGAAGAAGGAACATCCATTTTCACTATTTCCCTAAATAAAGTGTGTCATTGCAGGGAGTTCACCGCCAATTTTCTGAAGTCTCTGCCACACCCACAGATCTGGCCCAAACATAACAGCAAAGGAAGATTCTGTAAGAACTACCACACAAGTCCTTTATTTTCACTTTGTCAGAAAGCAGGATACTGACTTAGTTAAGCACTCCCGTGGCTTTCAAACGCACACCATTCCAAGACAGAGAGTAGAAAACAAATGTGCCTCTCTCCAGTTCTCCAGTTTCTCTCTCTAGGGAATAAGGTTCATTTCATTAGTAATTAAAACAAAACAAACAAAAAAAAAAAAACCAAACAAATGAAAACCCAGCATTTCACTTGGTAGCCCAGGCTGCACTCAAACTCACGACCTCCTGTTCAACCTCCTGGGTGCTGAAAGAAAGGTGTATGCTCCACCACACCGGGATAGAATCTTTTGGGTTCCCTTCTGGGGTTTGCTTTTGTGAACTTCTGTTAGTATACAAGTGTGTAATGATTTATTTAACTTGCTCCCTAAGTGTTTGAAGTTCTTCTTTGTTAGTTCAAATGAGTTGAAACACACGCAGCATACTTCCAGAAAAAATGTCTGGAAACAGAGCTGCTGGGTCTCAAATGACACCAAAACATACTTTCTTTTGGGCTGACTGACTTGTTTCATCCTAAGTGACATAAGTAGCTAGTGTCTGCTTCAACCATATGGCCTTTTAACTTGTTCTTTCCCATCACATGGCATTACAACCATGAGCACAGTTCCCCAGGGCCACCAACTCAGAAGTCCATACAATTACAGCATTGTCATTGTATGTCTCCCCAAGCTTGCTTCTTTACTGACACCCCATCTCGAATGACCTCATGCTGGGGAACTTCACCATCACTAAGCCCTGTATTGAAAATAAACATCTGAATTCTTGGGTCTTGGCCACCAGCTTTTGGAATGACTCAATAATGGCTTTGTAGACACTTTCCTGCCAAGAGTGGAGTAAGAGAAGAGTTGAAAAGAGCAAAGCGAGCAATCCATATTTTAGCTTTGGGTGTAAGTTACAAGATCTTGGATTTCATCTGGCTCCACAACTATCAAGTCACTAACAGTCTCAGGGCCTCTTGGCATTGTGCATGGAATGGGGACCCTGACCTAAATTCTTTTGCAGGACCTTTCTTCCTTACTGAGTCTAAAGACTCAGATGCACCCTAGACCAGGGACTGCTTATCTACCCAATGTAAGCAAGAGGGACACAAGTCAGCACATGATTCTAGCCAATGGGTGGGGCAACTGAGAAGGGCTTTTGGTAGCGATGTTTCAGGTGAGCAGGCTGGAGGCTGGTTCACATAGTTTGCTGTGTCTCTGTTCTATTGTTCCACCTACACCATGTCAAGCTATTAACACAGCATCCTTAGAGTTCAGAAGAGAAGCACAGAGAGATTGTGGGAACCCAATTGCTCATCAGTTAATAATTCATCAGTTAACAATTCAAAGAAAGTTTTTTGTTCATGCCCATTCTGTGTTGAAGTAACTTCCTACAAGAGGAAGGCTTGAACTAGGCATGGGGGAGTACTATGGTGGGTTCTCCTTCTATAGGAACGGACAGGAACTCGTTGAAGCTAGTTTAAAGAGAGAGGAAGAATAAAAGAATAGGACTTTTATCACAACTATTACAAGGATCAGAACAAAGGTTTTAATAAAGCAGCCCCAGCTCTCTGTACTTTCCAGTTCTTTTTATGTGGGAACGTCACTGTCACAGGTTCTTTCCAAATGACAGGAGACTAGGACCCTGTCTCTGAAGTTAATACTTCAGAAGAAAATCGGTACCCTTCATGGAGACCACATGGGAGGGTAGACTCGTGCCTACCATCTAGGCATGTCCAGTCTGAGACCCCGACCTCTACACACACAAGCACACATAAATAAATAAATGTAATTTAATTTTTAAAATTTGTTGAGTAAACATTGAACCCACGAACTCATCTCTTTATATCATTACTTGTTTTATGTTATACAACATACAATGCTTTAGATAAGATATAATATTGTTATTTGTGTGACATTTATTATCATTACAAATTATAAATTTATGTAATATCAATAGTGAGTCTCTGAATAGCTTGCTAGCTTCCTAAATGCCTCATGGGTGAGTGTCATGGCTACGGGAAGGAAGACAGGTACAGGTGAGATCATCATTATTCTTCCCACTTCTCAGAAAGTGAAATACAACCAATGCAGTTCACTGACTTGTCTAGGGTGTTGGAACCGGCCTTGGACTTTGAAGGCATATCTGCATTAAAATTCTGACTATTAACTTTGCATCTTGTGACAGCTGTTAGACAGATGTTCCTACTGCCCAGTGGAACACTAACAGCTAGAAAAAGGAAGCAGAGGAGGGAATGGAGAGAAGCTAATAACAGGCCTCTGGGTAATCTCCTGGTATATGCCTGCTGTCCAAATGGTATTACCTGTGTTTGGGGCTGAGACCATCCAGAGGGTCCCATTTCTCTCTGCATGATTTGAGGTGGGCCTGGGAGTCAGTGGAGTGAGGAAAGAGTCACTGTCTGCAGAGGAGAGAGATGAGGGCTGGAGCACAGAGTCCCCTGTCCTCATGTGTGGGGGCATTAACATCCAAAGAAAAATCCACACAAATTCTCTCTCTCTCTCTCTCTCTCTCTCTCTCTCTCTCTCTCTCTCTCTCTCTCTCTCTGTGTGTGTGTGTGTGTGTGTGTGTGTGTGTGTAGAAAAGAAGCCCCTGAACCTTCACCAATTCACCTGGCACATATACCTAGCCACTATCAGACACGCCCAGTACATAAATTGACATTCCAGTTACATACTAAGTTCAGCCTTCACCCTGTACCCACGCATGTGCCTACTGGGGTCTGATGCAAGTTTAGATGCATGACCTATGCACACACATACTTTTAGACATGTATGCATTATTTGTAATCACTCTCCAGTACATGCACATCCAGTGTACATGGAAATGTCCCCTACTGACACACAGCCTCGGATCCATCGAGAGATAAATGCCCACGTGTACGCACAGAAGGTTCTGCAGACACTGGCAAACACAGCAATAACCATGACTCGAGCATCAAACCTGCAAATGCTCTCACAACTTCTACACACATAAATGCATCGACACACCCAAGTTGTCGCTGCCGCTGAAGTCTTCCTGAAATCCGAAGGGGAAAAGAGCGCCAGCTGCTGGCCAGCGCACGTGACCGGGAAGGAAGGCGCTCCCGCCCATGATGGGATGGGAAAACTATGCCTGAGGCCCGCATCTCCCGCTGCTGCAGGCAGGACCAAGCACCACCAGACCTGGACGTGGCGCGGGGTAGAGAGGGTGAGTGTCGTGCGCCGCAGGGCAGAGAGTGGGGCGGACCTGGAGGAACCCTGGATGCTGTAGGCGCTAAATGAGGTAGCAGAGAGCTCGTCCCGGGATGGGGATGGGCAGCTTCTTCCTCTCCCCCTGTCTTGGGCATTATAGCCAGAACTCAAACATTTCTAAAGAGCACACTATGTGCTAGGCTCCGGCCGGTGGCTCACGGGTTAAGAAGGAAAAGAGCCTTGCGTTTTACTGTGCACCTATTTGATGCCAAGCCCTCGGGGCCCCGAACGTGTGCGGTTTCGTTTCCATGACAACGAGTTATCGCTATCTTCAAAGGAGAAACTGACTCAGTTACTTTTAAGGACAGGCTTAGGTCTGCACAGATGGCAAAGGCACTTAACCCTTTATGTCGGAGTCGGATATCTAGAATCACAGAGTTAATATTAATTGGGCTCATTATCTCATTTACTCTGGACATCGCTTTAAATACATTAAAATGGGGGAGTAGACTGAACTCGGAAAGATACAGGAAACGACAGTGAGAAAATTACATCCAGTTCTTCACAGTCCTCTTCACTCCCCCTCCTTCAAACTACTTGTCTCGAGGCCTTGTCTTTGTTTGGTTTGAGACAACCCAGTCTAGCCTTGAACTCACTATGTAGCTGAGGATAACCTTTGATCCCTTGTGGGCCTCCTGCTTCTGCCTGCTGAGGGCTGGGATTGCAGGTGTGTGCAGCCACATCAGATTTATTCAGCGCTGGGCATGCCATACAAGCACCCTACCTGCAGAGCCATAGCCCCAGCATCCAAGCCTCGTTTATATCTATGTAGTGGTCATATTCTCTGTTCCTGCTGCTCTCTGACCCACCACACGACCTTAACCCTTAACCAAACTGTCACAGTAGCTGGCCTCCCAGCCCAGTCCCTCCTGAAACAGAAGAAGGCCTTTATACATCTCAGTGTGGTGCTCCACTGCTCTGCAGCCATAAAACTGTTTGGTTTGCAACCTTTCAGAAGCCTTTCCCTTAAAAAACCATCTGCCAGATACTGTCTACACAAGGCCAGCAGCCTAATGATGACAATGGCATTTAGCATTATTGAAAAACAAAACAAAACAGACTTCCGTGGTTTTATTTCTGCTCTCCCTTCTGCATGGATTTTCTGTTGTCTGGTTGCTACATGCATTACTCAACTTCCTCAATTAACTCACCCCTCCACACAACTCTCTAGACATCACCTCTGTCCTTTCTAATTCAGCTAGTGTACCACAATCAAATGTCTTCTCAGATCCTGGCAGGCACATCACATGTGTTCTAGTAGTGTATCACTGTACTTCTCAATTGGAATTCTTTACACAAGTTCAAAGTCAGCAAGTTACCCCCAAGAAAACGTACGTACGTGTGTGTGTGTGTGTGTGTGTGTGTGTGTGTGTTTGTGTGTGTGTGTGTGTGTGTGTGTGCTGGTGATTACACATGCACTTAGTAATGTAGAGGTCAGAGGACATAACAGGCATTGTTCCTTGGGATCTGTCCCTCCTCACCCACCCCCAGTCAGGGTCTCTCATTGGCCTGGAGTTCACCAAGTAGGCTAGCCTGTCTGGCCAGGGAGTCCTAGAGATCTCCCTGTCTCTGCTTCTCCAGGAATGAAATTACAAGCACATTCCACCATGCTGGGCACCTTCTTCATCTTGTTTTGTTTTTAAGTGGCTTCCGGGGATCAAATCAGGTCTTCATATTTTTAAGTATTGTTCCCCAGCCCAGGGAGCCACTTTTTGTCTCTGCGTTCTTTTCTGTCTAGTCCTGACCCTGATGACTGGGCACCTTTTCTATACTTTAGTACTGATGCTGCCTGCTCCCAGGGGTTCCCTACAGAGTAGCAGACTAATGCTCATACTTCCCCCAACTTTTTCCTGCCTGTCAGAGCCCTGGAAACTGCATTTACCTCCATGTCAGGAACCCTGCACAAATGGAATTGCTCAGTTAATCCCCTTCTATTCTAGATCCAATTTTGAAAGCAATTCTATGCCAAGCCCTATCTAAAGCCGATGGTCCTCTCTTAGATGTGTCCTCTTCTGTAACTGGCTGATCTCTCTACACATGTGCCCAGTCATGCAGACATCACTAACCTCTTAGGGTCTCTCCTGCTAGCAGAGGGGCTAAGATGGAGGTCCATGACCTATGGGACTGGAATTGGCAGGCCTGATTCCCCAGACATGCTTGACATGGGAAGATGGTTCTCCATTTTTCTGGGCTCAGTTCTGTCTTCTGCGAAGTGTAGATGCCAAAACCAGGCTCTTAGAACTTTAGGGAGTAGTACAGGGCCTGCAGAATGTCAGGTCCCCCAGTAAATTGAGGGATTTCCTCTCTCTGCCTCTCTCTGCATGCCCAAGTGCCTGAGTGTGGGCATGTGACAGTGTGCATGCACAGAGCACAGGACAAGCTCAGGTATGGAGTCTCACTTTCCACCTTGTTGGAGTTTCAGTCTCATGTTTACTTCTAGCTGTCCTGTGAATCTCCAAGGATTGCTATAAGAGCACTGTGATTACAGACTCACACTGCTGTCTCTGGCTTTGTACAGGTTCTAGGGATTTGAACTCAAGCCTTCATAGAAGCATAGAACATGAGTCAGCTCCACGGAGTCATCTCCCCCGCCCTGGAAATTATATTAGAACAAAACAATTACCTTAACATTAGAAAGAAAATTAAAAGCACATTATAATGCCGACTCTAGTGGCATATACCTGTACTCCCTACACTTGAGAGACAGAGGCAGAAAGGACAGAAGTTTAAGAATTTTCCCAGGACATAGTGAATTCTAGGCCAGCCTAAGATACATGAGACACTGTCAAAAATAAAAGTAGAGGGCTGAAGAGATAGCTCAGAGGTTAAGAGCACTGACTGCTCTTCCAGAGGTCCTGAGTTCAATTCCCAGCAACCACATGGCGGCTTAAAACCATTCATAAAGAAATATGGTGCCCTCTTCTGGCTTGCAGCCATATGTGCAGACAGAACACTGTATACATTATAAATAAATCTTTAAAAAAAATAAATAAATAAAGTAGAGAAGTGGAGACTGGGCATACTGGCACAAACCCACAATTCCAAAACTTGGGAAGCCAATGCAGGAGGATTGCTGGCAAGCTGCAGGCCAGCCTCTTCTATCTACATAGTTACTCTAGGCCAGCCTGGGCTTCACAAGGAGACCCCCCCCCAAAAAAAAAAGTCCAGTGCAATCTGTGGTCTACATAAGGCAACTGATAGCAAGCAGCAATCTAATCGCTTTCACTTTTTATATGTAATTTGTGTGGTGTATGTGTATGTGTGTTCACATGTATGTTAGTGTACATATGTGCCCCTCCTCTTTTTTTTTTTTTTTTTTTTTTTTTTTTTTTTTTGAGTCACAGACTCTTACTGACCCTGGAACTGACATTTCAGCTAGGCTTCAGGGACCCTCCTGTCCCTTCATGGCCAGCACTGAGGTAACAAGTGCAAACCACCACACCTGGCTTTTATGCAGATGCTAGGGATCTAGCCTCTGGTCTTCATGCTTGGGCGGCAAAGCACTTTCTCCACTGAGCCATAACCCCAGCCTCCAGCTGACGACTCTCATGAAGATGGAATTTCCTTCATGATAGAGTTGTTTTCCATTGCTTTTCAGCCTCTGTGAGAGCCAGCTCTTACACTGGTAATCTTAAAAAAACTGACCACTAGGTTTGACACTTACAACCTTCTTTAGAGTCCAGCATGTCTGGAGACGAGGTGTCTTGATATTTTGCCAGAAGGTAGGTATGCACACCTTTTGCAAGCTGTGCCAATGGAGGCCAGAAGAGGGAGGTGAGTCCCTGAAATGCTACAGAGGGCTGTCATGTGGGTGGGGCAGACCTGAGTTCAATTCCCCAAACCCTCAGGGTGGAAAAAAAGAACACAGTCCTGTGAATTGTCCACTAACCTCCACATGTACTCTGTGATACACTTTAGTTTGTGCAAACACAGACACACAGACACACACAATCAACCAATCAATATGTACTTTAATAAATAATATTAAAAATTGAGTCCCAAGAGTGAAAAACTTCACAGGGTTTCAAAAGTTAGTGTTAACTAAGTATTGTAAGATATGGGGCTGGAGAGATGGCTCAGCAGTTGAGAGCACCGACTGCTCTTCCAGAGGACTCAGGTTCAATTCCCAGCATGCACACAGTGGATCACACTATCTATACTCCAGTTCTGATGTATCAATATCCCTCTTCTGGCTTCCACAGGCACCAGACACACAAGTGGTTCAAATACATACATGCAAGCAAAACACTCATACACATAAAATAAAAATACATTTAAGGGATATGTTTCAAAGATTGCAAGATGTCTCACTAATTTTTTTTTGAAGATTATATGTTCAAATGACATGATACGTTGACCTAAATAACATTGAAGTTGATCTCACCTGGTTCTTTTACCTTTGTAATGTGATCGGGAGATCACTTTAAATGGCATACATGGCTTGTGTCCTTAATGCCGTCCAATTATTCTCCCCCACCATGTAGGTCTACCATGCCGAGGGTGACCCTCAGGAGACATGGAGACAGAAGAACAAACACCTTCAGCTGTCTTCCACTGCTCCTCACATTCCACTCAGCAATTGCATCCTTCTCCTTCACTGTCCTCCTTGTTCCTCCATGTGGTAAAATAGCCACAGGCAAGGTGGAGCTTGCTGGTCTCCATTTCAGTTTCCAGGAGCCGGGCTCCGCCCCCTGACTTCTGTAGCCAATTCTTCAGTGGAGGGTCAGACATGAAGCCTGGGCCAGAGGGCTGACCTGCATTGCTCACCGTGTTGAATGACCTATATAAATAGATACAAAATAGGATGCTTCAATATTAATTCCAAGACTGACTTCCTGCACGCCTTCAGAAATGCTTGCTGAGACGAGCACAGCTAGATCCAGCTCCTGGAACCTCTCATTAGGTCATAATTTATCTCTAGACCTCTGTTCCCAGGCAGAGCCAAGAATGGAGAGGGAGAAAAAGAGGTGATTAAAATGTCTCAGCAAGAAGACCCCATGATTTTCAACTCTCTGTGTTCACTTCGAAACCCCCCCCCCTCCTGTCTTCTGGTCAATGCAGAGTTCCCAAGTAGGCCCCAAACTTGAGATCCCAGAAAAGGGGGTGTCCTGAGAGTTCTGCAGGAGCCGCAGTCAGCCCTCTCTTCCGGGCCACCTCAGCATTTAGAGAAACTGGGAGAGGACTGCTTCTAATTTGCTTCCTGGAATTGGGGAAGGCAGGGTGTTTTCCATTAGAGTTCCCACTGGCATCAAAGCAGATTTTTAACAGTCTTCATCCATCTGCAAGCAAGCTCTCTTTAACTCCAGCCACCAGCGTGTTCCTTCTAAAGCTGTATACAGGAAGAACTGCCCCGTTGGATCCCATCTGGAGGTCCTCTTCTGCTGAGGATGAGGCAAGGCAGGGCATTGCTCCAGGGTCTCCAGGTGGAGGAGGGGACTGTAAGTCTCAATTGAACTACTCAGGTCTCTACATTCTTAGTAGCTAAGTGTGGCTTTGTCAACCACAAATGTGTCAAAGTCCTGTTGCTATTTCATGGGTTATGAGTGACCATTGCATCCAAAGTCACTTAATTCATATTGAACATAGACTATATGTGGCACTGTACTAGGCTCCCGTGTTACAGACAGGTACAGGCAGGGGCCCCACTTCCCCAGATCTCCCACTAGGTGGAGACAGAGGTTAATCACGACTACAATTGGGTCACATGCCTCTAGGCAGGCCAGGCAGCCCAAGAACATTTCCAGTCAGATACCTTAGACTGTGGGCAGTGTTCCCAAGGAGATGAAGACTAGACCTGAGGTTTCAAGGATGAGGTGGGCAGCTGAGAGGACTTCTGGGGAGCAGGTTAGAATAGGGGGATACAGGTGGCCAACTGCAGTGTTTAGTGTGTCCACTCCTGGGATGCATATTTAGAGGTGTAATCTCATCTTTGACACAGACTCTGTGGCATTGTATCCATGAAATAGTTAAGCAAACAAGTGACTGGTTTTTCTAGGGCTCTTTTCTACTGAGAAAAAAAAATGTTTGAGATCTTCAGATCTTCGAGCAAAGCTTGGTCAGAACCTGGGCCTCACTCAAAGCCAAAGACAAGCATTCCTGACATTTGTACTTGCAGACCACATTCCAGAAAAATACAGGCAAGGCCAGTGTCCTCACCTCTGCCCCTTCGCATGTCAATGTCTTGGCAGAAGTCCCTGAAGAATGAGCTAGAGGCTATGTCCTGTGAAGTGTGGAGGGAGACGGCTCTTGCCCTACAGTGGACTCCAGACTGGAGCCATGGGCTCCCAGGGCTTTCCTGGAACATTCCTATTCATGAATCACTAGCTACTTTCCTGAGAGACTAGAAGCCCAGGACTGGACAGATTAAAACCAGACTTCAGAATTCATCCAAGTTTAACACCTCCTAATTCCATTTCTGGGATTTAACTATGGTTATTTTCCCCTTTAGCAAGAAGAGTTGATGAAGCCTTTCTTCCCTACACACAGCCAGGAAGAACAACTTAGATGACAGGATTTACAAAGGTAAGGGAGCAGTGATGGCTAATTGTTTTTTCCTGACCAATTTAACCTCTCTTTGTAGAACATTTGCTGTATGTGTGGTATTCTGCAAGCTCAGCTCCGGTGACAGGGACAGAAAGACAGATCTTGATCTGAGAAATCCAAAAAAAGAGTTTCTTGTCTGGGCCAGGTAAGAGAAAGCAAATAGAAGAGAAAACTGCTTGAATAAGTGGTTTCTGTGCCCTCTGGCATTAGGACCCCCTTTTCTTTTTCTACGGACTCTCTGACTCTCAAACACATGTCAAGCAGCTATTTCTCTTTTTTTAAGGTGTGTGTGTTTGAGCAACTCATATATGGGGTACCCTCAGATGCCAGATGAGGATGTCAGATCCCCTGGAGTTACAGATGGCTTTGAACTGGGGGAATTAGGCATAAGAGGGATGAAAAAGTAAATACCAGCAAATGGCTGCAAGAGCAAGAGGGAAAGCAAAGAGCTAGGACTGAAAGGGCAGCTTCCTCAAAGCTGGGGTCAGGAGATACCTGGAAGAAAGGCTGAAATTTGAGCTCAAGGGCAAGGTGCTACCCTAAGAGCAGAGGGGCTGCACCTCAGTTTGGTAGAGGTCCTTCAGCAGGCCAACAAGCAAAGGGAGGAGCAGAGGCTGGGGTGAGGCCGAGGCCAGGTCATTTAGGGCCTTGTGGGGTCTGATGGTGGTTCCTGTGTTTGTGGCCAATAGCCAGAAGCTACTGGACCAGCTTGAAGAATGAGGTGTCTGATGGATGTTTTTCAGCTCTGGCTGGGGCATGTGGAAGAGTCTGGGAGTCATGGAGTATGCACAGGAAGGGAGGGTGTTGAAAGACTCAAGTGAGGAATGAATAATGGGATAGGGTAGGGTGGGCTTTGCAAACCCCAACCCAGATCTCTTGGCTAGGACCTAGCTGGACCCCACATCATGAACACTCCAGGGGGGTTTATGGTGGGAGTCAGGGCCCTGGATGGCCACATCCATTGAAACAGAGACTTTTCAAAGAGCAGGAAACATTTCATTGTTTTGTTTCTCTCTCTCTCTCTCTCTCTCTCTCTCTCTCTCTCTCTCTCTCTGTGTGTGTGTGTGTGTGTGTGTGTGTGTGCTTAATTTTATTTTATGTGCATTGGTGTGCTGCCTGTATGATATGTCTGTGTGAGGGTGTAGGATCCCCTGGAACTGTAATTACAGACAGTTGTGAGCTGCCATGTGGGTGCTGGGAATTGAACCCAGGTCCTCTGGAAGAACAGCCAGTGCTCTTAACTTCTGAACCATGCCACTGGCTCTCTCTTTGTGTGTTTTTGAGATAGGGTCCCATGTAGCCAAGGCTGGCCTTGAACTTGCTGTATAGCTGAGCATGACTTGGAGCTCCTGATCCTTCTACTTCCACCCGCGGGCTGTGATTACAGGTATACACTACCACACCCCAGAGGACAGGAGGTTTTCCTCAAGTATCTGATTACCAAAGTATCCTGAGAAAGCAGAAATATCCCTTTGGCATTTTCAAAGCCCTGTGGTATGCATGCGTGCAAAGCTGTAAAATAGAATACAACATACCAAAGGGTGCTGAGTGTGGGCTTGGCATGCACTTCAAGGAGTCTTCTATCATTTGGGATGCTCCAAAGGAAAAACATCTAAGCAATGCTGGCAGTACACAAAGCACTTATCTATCAGGAGCAGCCAGCGCCAGGTTCAAATATAACTTCTGCCACTAACTGGTTGTGTAGACATGAGCAAATTGCTTCCCTGGGTGTGTGGGAGGAAGCTACAGAAGGGAGGAGGGTAATATGGGGTAAGCATGGTCACTAAGGATAGTTGGCCATGGGAAAAGTCTCTGCCCTGCTGGTGTGACAGTGAGTAAACCACTTTACTCTCAGAGCCTTGGCTTCTCCCTTTGAAAACTACCCTTTGTAGGGCTTTTTGTTCCTTTCCAATAACACAATGCAGGTAATGAGCTCCATGCAGACCCTGGATATTGTGGGTGCCTGTTAATGTCAGCTTGTCTCTGCCTCAGTATCATCCGTAACTGAAGGAGCTGGATCTGACACCCTCCCCGAGTTGGCTCTATGCTTATGTAAAAGGCTGTGGGAGAGTTACTCCATCTCAATGGCTTGGGGACTTGCTACCTTCTAAGCATGACATCCCATTCCCAGTTTTCTCACCAGGGCCATCCCGTGGGTGGTGGTGTGAGCATAGAGCTCAAGGGGGAACAGAATTACTTGGACTCTTGTTTTTCTTGGAGATGCCTGGGAAGCAAGGAAACTCTCCTCTCCCTTCAGTTCTAGAAGCAAATCCAGTTCCCTGCCTTTCTTTCCAAAGCTATTCCTGGCTCCAGCTCCAGAAAAATAAAATAAAAATAAAACATCTCCCTGTGTGTCCCAGAGTAGCCCGCCCCTTAGGCTCGGGGACCTGCTCCAGCCCAGCTGTCCCTGAGAGGCCTCTGTCAGAGAAGATTAGACTGACTCCCAGGGCCCTCATGCTGTACTTTGGGGCAGAATAGAGAGCACTGTGATAGCTATGCCCCTGTGCCCGCTCTGGTCTAGCTGTTTCTTGGCTGTGACTTTAGCTGTTCTCGGAGTTCGTGATCTACTTGTAAAAGTCATTCCACCTCCCTCCCTCTCCCCTCCTTCCCCCTCTCTCTTGCTAATCTGAAATGTTTATGGGTCACAAATTGCTAGATCATTTCAAAACTGCTTGCAAAATTAACTTCCATTCTTTAAGACTCCCAGGTGTGCTTCAGCTCCTAAATAACAGGGCTGTGAAACGTGGCTCAATGGCCGAACACTTGTCTAGCATGCAAGATTCCAGACTCAGGGGAAAAAAATCCAAATTATACCAGGCCATTTTCCACAGCTCTCATCTCATTTAGCAAGAAGAAGAAAGAGAGAAATGGGCCTGAGTAGTGGCCAGTTTCCCAGAAGTGCCTGTCACTGGTGTAATACTAACGTGCATGCCTTAGTATGCTGAGCGAGCCTGACACAGAAATACAACCAAGTATAGTCACCTATGCTTGCGTCCCTCTGTCCCTTTGTGAATAAACATCGGGCAGTGAGGGGAGCTCAAGCCTGAGAAACTTAGTGAGACCTTGTCTAAAAAGGAAAAGTAAGAAGGGATGTGGGGGTACAACCTAGTGGTAGAATGGGATGGGTAGAAGCCCTGGGTTCACTCTGAAAAAAGATGTCCTGACCTGGAGTGGACAGGAGCTGAGCAGGAGTCAGCTTGTTCCAAGGGGAGCAGCCAGAGAGAGCCCCAAATCCTGGGCAGTTGTCAGCATCAAGATCGAAGCAGACTGGGAAGCAAAGCAGGGTGTGTGTGTGTGTGTGTGTGTGTGTGTGTGTGTGTGTGTGTGTGTGTGTGTGTGTGTGTGAAGGACCCAGGAAGAACCCTGAGCTCCAACACTTGAGCTATGTCCCCACTCTGACTCCAGAACCCCAGCCACCCATGAACCCTGACTGGGCTCATGGGTCAAAGGCTGTGTAGGAGCTGTGGAGCATATCCACAATGAGAAAGAAGGCCGGAGAGAGAAAGGCTCGGTATTACAACTGGATGTGTCTCAAATCGGGACTAGGATGACCAGCAGCCCCAGCTACCCCTAGAGACTTACTATGAAAACTAATTATGCAGCCCTGCCCCGAGCCACTCCAAGAGGACATAAATTTAGAGGGTGGGACCGCACCATCTGCATTTTAACAAGCCCTCACTCTGAAATCTGACTCTCAGATTGAAAAGCACTGATTTCTTCTAGCCCTTGGCTGTTCCGGTGGGAAAACTAGGAGTCAGAAAGAGAAAGGGGCTAGCCTGAGGTCACAAAGTAAGTTACCACTGAGAGCCATTCAGGTAGCCAGAAGTCATGCCCTTCCTAGCTTCCTCCTGGGTAAGAGACGCCTTTAGTGGCCGTGCATCAGAGGTAGCTTGTTGAGGCCTTAAGCAAAGCCCCTGATTTCTGCTCCAAGCCCGAGTGTATGTGTCTGCACGGTGTACATGGGGAGGAGAGGAGCTCCCACTGTGTCCTGCACTGATACTTAGTGGGCTTATGCTGTTACCACAAGCCTTATGGACAGTACCGATTGGAGTAGGAGGGGGCAATCTTAAGAGCTGTGTGGCCTGGATCAAACCCCAGCCTACCACCTCCTGGCTACATGACTTAGCCAGTCCCATCACCTAGCTTTTCTGAGCCTCTTTTCCCGACTTGTGCCTGTTCTGAAAGGCTGTTGTACTGAGATGGAGGGTGCACTGACATGTCTGAAGCTTTTGTGTGGGCCTGGGCACCAGAAGCACTTAGAGAAGAGTTGTTACCCCTGGCCAGGGCTGCCACCCTCACGAGGAATCACCATCCCTCAGTCACAGAATCCTTATCTTCTCATATTTGCAACCCCAAGTCCCTGTGAGAAGTGGCCTAGCTGCGAATCACCAGCTACAATCAATGTACCTGTCCTTATACTTTTAGTCTGCATATTTGACTGAAGCCCTGAGTTGTCAATATCTGGGGCTGTGGTGTGTGTGTGTGTGTGTGTGTGTGTGTGTGTGTGTGTTGGGGGTGGGGGAGTTCTTTCTGCATTGCAGCTACTTGGATGAATGACATCCTAATGGTGAATGGCTTGCTCTCAAGACCCCTGCAAAGTGTATCTGAGCACAGGATTCAGCTATCCAAGTATGCCGTTAAGATATGATCACACTGCCAGGTGGTAGTAGCACACACCTTTAGTCCCAGCACTCAGGAGGAAGAGGCAGACTGGTCTCTGGGTTCCAGGACAGCCAGGGCTACACAGAGAAAAAATGATAATACTGTCTAGAACAGTGGTTCTGAACCTTCCTAAATGCTGTGCCCCTTTAATACAGTTCCTCATGTTGTGATGACCCCCAACCATAAAATTATTCCATTGCTCCTTCATAACTGTAATTTTGCTACTGTTACAAATTGTAATGCAAACATAAATATCTGTGTTTTTCTATGTTCTCAGGCAACACCTGTGAAAGGGTTCTTTAACCTGACCCACAGGTTGAGAACCACTGGTAGAGCTGGATGTCTATGGTGCAGGCAAGAAAGACAGACAAATATGATTGCATCCTTGCCTCCTCCTCTTCCTGATGCCTTTGGACTGACCACTAGTGTGTCAGAACCATGTCTACTCTCAGCTGCCACAGCTCTTCTGTCATCCATAGGTGACCACCATGATATCCTGGGTACTCTTGGCCTGTGCCCTTCCGTGTGCTGCTGACCCACTACTTGGTGCCTTTGCCCGAAGGGACTTCCAGAAAGGTGGCCCTCAACTCGTCTGCAGCCTGCCTGGCCCCCAAGGCCCACCTGGCCCTCCAGGAGCACCAGGACCCTCAGGAATGGTGGGAAGAATGGGTTTTCCTGGTAAAGATGGCCAAGATGGCCAGGACGGAGACAGGGGGGACATCGGAGAAGAAGGTAAGAGACCTGTACCTGCCCTCTTGTCCCACCAGAGCTGACAGCCTCTGTCATGGGTGGGGTGCTTCAGTACCCATCAGTACCTCTTCCTACCCAAATGGAAGAGAACAGGTGAGAACTGTCAATCATGTGGTGTTCCCGCCTCTGCGGAGCATTTGAATTGCTAAGTTGGGGGCTGGGGGAGGGGTGTGAGCCAACCTATGAGCTATTATCCAAAGTGCATTGTTTTTGGGTGACAGCAACCCAATTCATGGGTCCAACTGAGATTACCTGACTCACAAAACTGCTCAGACGGAGAGCTGACCTTGAGGAACCACTTGGCCCAGAGCTTTAACTTGTCTGGGCTCTGCTTCTTGGTTTCATCCCCCTAAAGCTGGATGCTCTGAAATGGCAGCTGATGATTCAGGTCTCCCTTCCTATGGCTTTGCCCATACCCATCCTTTAAGGGAGATGTTACCACCATTTAGTAAGGTTGGGTCATATGCCACCCCTAGATGATTCTGAGTGGGTAGTGAAAGCACTTGGTCATTGTAGTTGACAGCCCCACAGGGACCCACATAGAGCAGTGAAGGGTGGCTTGGAACACATTGGATACTGTCTTTAGGTTCATTCTACCTGGACATTACTTCTGACCTTTCACCCCTGCTCTTTATCAGCATCCTCAAATGTACATCTCAAACATAGGGAAATTAGAGCAGCTTTCTGTTCTTGGTGCTAGAGAGTAAACCTAGTGCAGAGAGACCTTGTGCAGTAAACCCGGGACCTAAGTACATGCTCCACCCTGCCAGCCTTGTGATAGCTTTTACTTACATGACATTTTAACACTGACCAGGCATTTTGAGTAAGTAATTTATCAGATCCCCAACACGGTCCTGTAAAGCAAATGCCCTTATTATTCCAAATGAGGAGACTAAGACTCAGGATAGCAAAGTTAAGATGATCAAGTCATTGTTGCAAGCGCTTAAACTCTGAGGACAACCTTGAACACTAATTTTGACAAGTGTCTTAACCTCCCCATATCTACAACAGTGATACCAGCAACACTTCCTAACAGAGAGTCAAGAACTATGTAAAGCACTAGTCTTGAAATCATTGTTCCAGTGCTCGCCCCTATCCTGATTTCCTGAACTTAGACTCCAAACCCAAGGTGTTTTCCTATCACACAAAACCAACTCCTCCAAGACTTCTGACAAAAAGGGAAATGCTTGAACCCTGGGAGGTCCTGCAGGGTGCCAGGCACCCTCCCTCATTCTTTGACCCCATGGTATATTCAGGTCAAGCAGGGCCTGCCAAAGCCTTTCTAGAGATTGGCCTGCGGATCCTGTGGGAGACAGTCTCTCTCAACCTCTCTTCTTGATCAGGAGCAAGGAGGGAGCTGGCCTGGGATTCTTTGAGTCATCTGGTGACAGAAAAAAAGGCCGAGAGGGAGCAGCCTGGTGTGTGTAACCCAGTCAAATCCTGGTCACCTCAGGACAGGAGGTCCAGCCATGCCCACTACTAACAAACATAAACCCATCTCCAGAGGGGTCTCAGGGAGGCTTTCAGAAGGTAATGAAGAAGGAAGCAGATCACACCATCAGAGTTGGAAGTTCCTGTCATGCTTCCCTAACTGTTTCACTGGGAAAGAATGCCGAGCCAAAGTGGTCATCTCCATGTTTCCTATTCCCTCAACCCCTTCTCCTAGCTTTTGTTATTGTTTACCTAGTTTTAGAATTCTCATTATTTACTTATGAGCCTGTATGTGTGCATGTGTGTTTGTGTGTGTGTGTGTGTTTCATATGCACGTGAGTGCCCAAGGAGGCCAGAAGAGGACATTGAAGCACTTGGAGCTGGAGTTACAGGAGTAGATGCTCTTTGGGTACCAGCTCACAGAGAACTACACAGACATTTATTATTCACCATGAAAGCTCGGCCATAGTTTAGGCTTGCTCTTAATTAGTACTTATAACTTGAATTGACCTGTACCTTTTTTTTTGATAATTTTTTTATTTGAATTTGAAACAAGCTTGTTTTACATGTCAATCCCAGTTCCCATACCCTCCCATACTCCCCTGCTCCCCCCAGCAACCCCCATCCCATCCTCTTTCTGCTCCCCAGGGAGGGTGAGGCCTTCCATGGGGAGTCTTCAAAGTCTGTTATATCATTTGGAGCAGGGCCCAGGCCCTCCCCCATGTGTCTAGGCTGAGGAAGAATCCCTCTATGTGGGATTAACCCGTATCTTTTCATCTACATTCTTTTACATGATTCAGTTACCTTTACTCTGTGCTGCCCATCCTGCTTTCCCTCCATCTGCTGGCAACCCTGCCTTCTTCCCAGATTCTGCTGTCTTCCCAGAGTCCTCTCTGCCCTGAAAATCCTGCCTAGCTATTGGATGTTCAGCTTTTTAATCAAACCAATCCCAGTGACACATCTTCACAACGTACAAAAAGATTATTCCACATCATACAGTTGGTCGTGAGCTACCCAGTGTGGGTACTGGGAACCCAACTCTGGTCCTCTTCAAGTGATCTTGATGGCTGAACCATCTCCCAGGCCCTAAATTTCCATTTTTTATCAAGGGCTTGACTAGTTTTATTTACATTTTCTTCTCCATTTGTCATTTATCCTGTTTAGTGCTAAGTGTGTACTCTACCTAAATGTCCCACCCTCATTTTATTTATTAATCGTGTATGTAAGTGGCTTTGAATATTAATTGTATAAGTGAATGCACCTTGTGTTTTAGATCCCTAGAGAAAAGTCAGGAAGGATGCACACCTGGGTTGACACACGGTGGTTGGTGTCTAGAAAATGAGAGGAAGATGAGAAGTGTTTAAGGAAGACTCCTCATACATTTGTGCCATTATCGCCACGACACTGTATCTGTGTCCCACTTACTCTGTTTAAAAATGGCTCCTGGCAAGAGTGATGTTCCCATGGTTAAGAACGCTGGTTGCTCTTGCAGAGGATCCACGTTTGGTTCCCAGAACCCATGTGGCAGCTAACATCCATCTGAAGCTCCAGTTCCCGGAGATCCAATGCCTTTTTTCTAACCTTTGGCATCGCACAGGCACCAAGCACATAGGTGGTAGGTACACAGACCTACATGCAAGAAAAACACCCACAAACAGAAAATACAACTTTTGAAAAATTGTTCCTGAAAATTAGATATTCAATAAGAAAATGTTATTTGGAAATCTATTTCCCAACTATCTAAAGTAATAAATGTTTAAAAATGTGATAGTAAACTCAGGACTAAAACATAGAGTGTATTAGGGACCTGTAAGGGAACTAATCCAATAGGATGAGCATTTGTTACCATCTTAGTCACTGTTCTATTGCTGTGAAGAGGCCCCATGACCAAAGGTGCTGGATAGTTTTATGTCAACTTGACACAAGCCATAGTCATCTGAGAGGAGGAAGCCTCAATTAAGAAAATTCCTCCATAGGATAGGGTTGTGGGCAAGTCTGTAGGGCATTTTCTTAATCAGTGATTGATGGGGGAGGACCCAGCCCAGTGTGGGTGGAGCCATCCCTGGGCTGGTGGTCCAGAGTTCTATAAGAAAGCAGGCTGGGCAAGCCATGGGAAGCAAGCCAATAGGCAGCAGGCCTCCATGGCCTCTGCATCAGCTCTTGCCTCCAAGTTCCTGCCCTGTTTGAGTTTCTGTCCTGACTTTCTTCAATGATGAACATTGCTGTGGAATTGTAAGCCAAATAACCCTTTTCTCCCCAAGTTACTTTGTCATGTTTTTTCATTGAAGCAATAGAAACCTTAACTAAGACACCAAGGTAACTCCTTTGTTTGTTTTCCAAGACAGGGTTTCTCTGTGTAACTTTGTAGACCAGGTTGGCCTCCTCGAACTCACAGAGATCCTCTCTGCCTCCCAAGTGCTGGGATTAAAGGCATACACCACCACCACCCAGCAGTGACTCTTATCAAAAAAAAAAAAAAAAAAAGGAAAAAGGAAAACATTTAATTGGGGGCTTGCTTTCAGTTTTTAATGCATTATTACTGTGGTGGGGAGCATGATGGCAAGCAGGAGGCAGGCTCTGGAGAAGCAGCTGACAATTCTATGTCATGGTCCGCAAGCAGAGAGAGAGATTGGGCCTGGAGTGGGGCTTTTGAAACCTCAAAGCCATCCCTAGTGATACTGCTTCTCCCACGAGGCCACACTTCTAATCTTTCCCTGAGGGCTCATCATCTGGAGATGAAGCATGAAAATGTGAGCTTATGCGGGCCATTCTCATTCAAATCACACACTCCTCTCTCTGGCCCCCATTGGCTTATAGCCATATCATAATGCAAAATGAATTCGGTCCAATTTTAAAAGTCACTGTAGTCTATCAGTCTTAGGGCTGTTTAAAATCTCTCGTGAGACTCAAGATCATCTCTCATCTGTAACCCCCTGTAAAATCAAGATCAAAAAGCAGGCCACATACTTCCAACATGCAGGGGCACAGAGAATATATATTACTATGCCAAAGAAAAAGAAAGGGAGCATAGTAAGGAAATACTAGACCAAAGCAAAAACAAAACCATCAGGGCAAACTTCCAATTCTGCATCTCCATGCCTAATGTCCAAGTGATCTTCAGAACTCCAACCTCCTTCCAGCTTTGTTGAGTGCAACCATTACAACCAGGACTTTTTTTTTTTTTTTAAGATAGGTTTACATGATATGGGTTGGATAGTCCAAAATGACCATATTCATGAAGGAAAAGGCTGATAACTCAGTAGCTGCTCAGTCCACAAGGCTGGGTACCTCAGCAATACCTATCTATCAATGAAGGCCTGGAGGGTTCCAGGCGGGTCACAAGTCTTCAGTCCACAGTGGAAGGCTGGAAAGACTGGTAATGTCAGCAAAAGATGGCCACAGCAATGGGTATAAGGTAGATGCACTCACCAGCAGAGGGCAGAGTAACAACAGGGTAGGTACACTCACCAGCAGAGGGCAGAGTAAAAACAGGGTAGATGCACTCACCAGCAGAGGGCAGAGTAACAACGGGGTAGATGCACTCACCAGCAGAGGGCAGAGTAACAACGGGGTAGATACATTCACCAGCTGAGAGTGAAAGCAGACAGGCAGAAGCAGCAACCTCTCCCTCAGATCTCTTTATATCCGGGACACAGTCAGAAAGCGCAGTCTACTCTAGGACCACCATCTTCCTGGTTCAGTTTAATTCTTCCCTCACAGACCTGCCCAGAGGCATGTCTCCTAGCTGATTCAGATCCATTCGAGTTGACAACCAAGATTAGCCACCACATAGTAAAATGCCTCCATGCTACACAGAGGAAACAAAGTACCTTGTCAAGGGGGTAAAAACACTAAAAGTTTCCCTCTTTCACTTCAGTGGATGTAAATCATCCTTGCCTGTGTCTGGTGATGCTCGGAGGTTCATTACCATTAGCACCTCTCAGGAGCAAGTCCTTTGATGGGCATTTGACCTGACTTCTGCCAATGCACACCTTAGTTAAGACAGAACCCAAGCCCCCTTCTATATATGTTTTGTTTAAAATGTGTTGGAGAGCCAGGCTGTGTGGCTCATACTGGAATCCCAGTGTTTGGGAGGTAGGAGATGAGTCTGCAGTATAAAGCCAGCCTCAGCTTCCCAGCATGTTCACACCAGCCCTAGGCCACGTGAGACAAGCTAAAATAAAATAAAATAAAATAAATAAAAATTTGGGTTAATCCTAAGTAAGTGCTGGAGCGATGGCTTAGAGGTTAAAAGCACTGGCTGGTCTTCCAGGGGTCCTAAGTTCAAGTCCCAGCAACCACATGGAGGCTCACAACCATCTGTAATGAGATTTAGTGCCCTCTTCTGGCCCGCAGGCATACATGCAAGCAGAACACTGTATACATGATAAATAAGAAAGGCTTTAAAAAAAAGAATCCTTAGTACAAATGTTTCCTATGGAATCATTGGCTCAAAAATGCTGTTTGTAAGAAAATGTATATTTTATGAAGTATCAGTATTCACAACCAAGACGTGTTCTCTGAGTAAACATCTAGAGGAGATGTTCTGTGGGATTTACCAACTGATGTTTAACATTTAGACAGTGTTTGCCAGGCACTGTACTGTACCCTGAGAGAATGCAGGGATGGGGAGGCACTATCGTTTTCCTGGCACCAGGAAGTTCTGGCACCAGATGCTGTTTCGGCTCAGTGAACTTCACAGCTGTCTTTACATAGCCTGTAAATCCATTTCCTTCTTTTTGTTTTCCTGGGACAGTGTCATGTAGCCCAGGCTGGCCTCAAACTCACTGTGTAGCCAAGATGATCTCCAATTCCTGATCCCCCCAACACACACTCATACACCATGCTGGACTACACCACCATGTCCAGTTTTATGCAGTGTTAGAGATAGAACCCATGAGTTCACACATGCAAAGCAAGCACTCTACCAACTGAGTTACATCCCAAGACCAGTGAGTTGTTTTCTCTTGCCCTGATTCCCGGAGCTTCTGACAGGCCTGTCCACCCTGGTTTTCCTGAAAAGATCAAGGGCAGCACCCCTGATCACGCCTTCATCATTTGCCCCCTTCTGTGTGCCCCAAAACCTCTCATTCTCCCCGGCCGTAGGCTGTGCCCAGGTTCCACAGGTCCCCAATAAAACCAGCTGTTCCGTCTTCCAGGGCCACCAGGCCGGACAGGCAACCGTGGCAAACAAGGACCAAAGGGCAAAGCTGGAGCCGTTGGGCGGGCCGGTCCTCGGGGACCCAAAGGGGTCAGCGGTACCCCAGGGAAGCATGGCATACCAGGCAAGAAGGGACCTAAAGGCAAGAAAGGGGAACCTGGGCTCCCAGGGCCCTGCAGCTGCAGCAGTGCCCGTGCCAAGTCGGCATTTTCGGTGGCGGTGACCAAGAGCTATCCACGGGAGCGACTGCCCATCAAGTTTGACAAGATTCTGATGAATGAGGGCGGTCACTACAATGCATCCAGTGGCAAGTTCATCTGCAGCGTCCCGGGGATCTACTACTTTACCTATGACATAACATTGGCCAACAAACACCTGGCCATTGGCCTAGTGCACAATGGCCAATACCGCATTCGGACTTTCGATGCCAACACGGGCAACCATGATGTGGCTTCAGGCTCTACCATCCTAGCTCTCAAGGAGGGTGACGAAGTCTGGCTGCAGATCTTCTACTCGGAGCAGAATGGACTCTTCTACGACCCTTACTGGACCGACAGCCTCTTCACGGGCTTCCTCATCTACGCTGACCAAGGAGACCCCAATGAGGTATAGACAAGCTGGAGTTGAGCCTCCGGAAAGGGACTGAGTTTCTGGGGAACGGGTGCTGATGGAGGAAGACCCCTGGACTGGGGCTGGGGCCTGGCAGTCTTGGGAGCTTCTGTTGCTGCTTTAAAAAAAAAAAATCATTAAACCCAAGCTTTTGATTCATTATTTATCTGTTCGCTCACTAATTATCATAGTATCTGTTGAGTAACCCGCATTGGACTAAACTGTGAGTTCCATACACCAGTGCTAAGACAGAGCTTCTATCCCCACGAGAAATACAATTCATAAATAAACAGAAAAAATATAAATATTCTGCCACATGGAAACAGGCATGGGGGAGTGGCTGAAATATCTTGAGTTCAACCCTTAGGTCTACTTGCATACAGGCATACATTTTTTTTTAAGTGAGAAACTTATATGTGCATCCTGTACTATGCATAGATCAGGAACAAACCACTCCCACCTCTGTCTCCAACAGCTCTCAGGGATTCCTTCAAGCCACAACAGGTGCTCCTCGACTTACATTAGAATCATGTGTGAAACACAGTAAGTTTAGAATATTGTTCAGCTAAATATACACTCAACAGTGCACATCAGGGTCTAGCCACCCAGCACACGGAAGAACAGTTGTTCACCATGACCGGTCGCCCACTGCCAATGCCCTGAATTGCAAAGGCAGCTGTTCTACACATAATCAGTGAGAGGAAAGATCAAAAGTCCAGGTGGTTTCTACTGAATGTGTGTTATTTGTGCACCATCATAAACTTAAAAATTCTTAGGCCAAAGCATTATAAATCAGAAACCTTTCGTTCATGGAAAAGCTGAATCCTGAAGCAGGACGCAGGTCAATGGGAGAAGGTGAAGGGATTGTTCCCCAAGCAAAATGATCTACCTGCAGGTACAATACCCACCCCACCCCCCACCCCCGCCCTGGGATGAGTGGGTGCACTTGAGGGATTGAGGAGGCCGGAAAAATTGAGATGTTGGGAGGAAGAGACTCTTGAAACCAGAAGATCACACAGACCCTCACAGGCATAGCCAAGTTCCTTCCATTTAACTGGGCCCTGCCCCAACCTAATGAGACAGACTATATTGACTCCTCATGGGAGCCCTTACCCATGAGGAGGAATGGGCTGGGGGTGTGCTAGAGGGGAAGCTGTGGGTAGTGTGAGGAGGGGTGGAAGGGAAAACTGTGGTTGAAATGTAAAATGAAGTAAAAAAGAAATTTATTTTAGTGGAGGAAAAAAAAGAAAATGGATTTACCCTGACTATGGTAGATTATACTTGTAATTCCAGCATTCAGCTGGCTGAGGCAGGAGAATTGCATTGAATTCACAGTCAGTCTAGGCTGAGGGTGAAACTGTCTCAAAAAAAGTTATTATCAGGATGTAGATTGTGTGACATTAATATAGGGATAATTTTCCCCACTGAAACAGGGCTTCTCTGTGTAGTGCTGGCTGTCCTGGAACTCACTCTGTAGACCAGACTGACCTCAAGCCACAGAGATCCACCAATGTCCCAAGTGCTGGAATTAAAGGCTTGTGCCACCACCGCCTAGAAGGGGTAACCTTGAACCTTCTCAGAGCATGCGTACAGTCTTTCAAGAACCTAGGCATTTAGACAGGCCGTGATGGTGCACATCTTTAATCCCAGTAGAGGCAGGCGGATCTCTGTGAGTTCGAGACCAGCCTGATCTACAAGAGCTAGTTCTAGGACAGCCTCCAAAACCCTTCCTGTCTCGAAAAACCAAAAAGAAAGAAAGAATGAATGAATGAATCTGGGCATTTTACTGTTCTACTGATCCTTCTACTGATCCTACTGCTCAGTGAGTAGAGCAGGATATCCCTGCATGCTTGCTGACAGGAGTAAATAGCACTGAGATAAGTGTACCCTGGTCCCCTGTTTTCAGCGTGCAGAGCTAAAGAAGCCTCCTTAGAAGAGGCTGGTGTGAGCCCAAGAACAATTGCAGGAGTTTCCTGCTGTAGCCTCAACTATCAAGCAGTCGGCTCTCACTGCCCCCTGGTGGATACTTATGGAAAAGCAAGTAATGCTCTTGGTCCTGGGAGAGTGAACCCAATATTAATAAAACAGGTTTTACTTCATCGTTCTCACTGATTGAGAAATGGTACAGGAACTGGAAGGGTCTAGAAACCTGGCAGGACTCTGTGACCCAAACAGACCTGTCCAGGGTCCCCATAGATGGGTCAGTCTCTGAGATGAAGTGACACCTCCATTTGTAAACGTTTTTTTTTTCTTTCCTTTTTTTTTTTTTTTAAACAAATTGTTTTACCAGGCATGATGATGAGTGCCTTTACTCCTAGAACTCAGGGGGCAGAGGCAGGTGGATCTCTGTGAGTCTGAGAACAGCCTGATCTACATAACTAATTCCAAGCCAGCTAGGGCTACACGGTGAGAACCTAACCCTTCATCCTATCCCTGGCTGCTTCTTGAGGATCTCTGGAACCTGGGTCTGTCTTCGGGTCTTCCCATTATATAAGCACTGAAGAAGAAACAGAAAGGCACATATTTATGTCATAAGATGGCCCTTGGTCCAAAGGTCATCTCTCATCCGGTACACTCTTTGAAAGTCAGCTGCCCCTTCTGGAGAAATCAGAGAACCCCAACTCTCATCATAGCATTATGAGAGCTTCCAGCCCAGATGGGAAGACAGACCTCAGGCTTCTCTTGATGAATGCATGTTGTACTCCATGTACTACAGGAAAGAATGAGACATCCAACTCACACACAAAATTTAAGTGACCAAGAAGAAAAAAACTCAATGCCAGTAATATTTAATATAGGATGTTAACAAATCAAAAACAATGCAGAAGAAATCAAAGTTTCAGTAAAGATGGGATCTGACAGGGCTGGGATTTCCGTGAGTAAAGAATGGGGAGGGAGGAAAAGGGAAGGGAGGGAACGAGTGGGAAAGGGAAAGAAAGTTCTACAAGTACAGATTGCATCAAAGCTGAAGTGAAGCTTTGACAGCCCACCCACTCCCACCCCACCCATCCCAACCCCACACACCCCCACCACCATAGCAAGAAATCGCTTCCTTGCTGCATGTCATCCTCATTTATGCCACTAGGGGACGCACAGCTACCACACGAACCTCCAGCAAGCCACGGGAGACTGGAAGAAGCAGCAGACATCTGCAGCAGGCATGTCCTTAGACTCAGAGCCCCAAACAAAAGCAAAGCCAAGGTTTTAGAGTGATTATGATCTTGCGCTAAAAAGGGGGGAGGGGGAAATCAAGTCAGTCCCATCTATTCCTAACGTTTGCACTCAGAGCAGAGTTTGGGGCACCCTGTGTGTGGCAGAAACAGCCCGAGGCAGTGCAGGAACACCCACTGTAGCAGGAATTAGGTCTAGTCCTGAGTGTCTTTTGGTCCCTTGTGTGTTTTGTGCCATGTTATTAACATTTGTGGTTTCAGCAAAATGAAGGGTTGGGCCAGATGATCTCAGATCCAATTTGAGCATCAAATCTTAATTTCTATCTCCAAAGTAGAGTCAGGAAAGGAGCCTAAGGTCTCTAAAACAGAGGAACTGGGCTGGAGGAAGCTGCCGGCATGTTGACTCTTCACATTCCAGCCTCTGCTTCCCATGAAGAAGTACGAGTGTGTGTGTGTGTGTGTGTGTGTGTGTGTGTGTGTGTGTGTGTGTGTGTGTGTGAGTGTGAGTGTGTGTGTGTGTGGCCACAGAAGGATGTCAGGTGTTCTGCTCTATCATTTCCTTCTTGAGTCAGCCAGTGTCTCTCACTGGTCATGGATCTAGGCTGTTGGCTAGAGAGTCCCAGCAATCCTCCTGTCTCTGTCCCCAATAGTGCTGGAGTGACATACTTGTGCTCAAACATGCCAGGCTTGTGTGTGGGCTTTGGGGATTTTCATTTAGGTCCTTGTACTTTTTTGTTGTTGTTTGTTTGTTTGTTTTTGTTGTTTTGTTTTTATCCTTAGTGGCTTTCACACATTCCGTTCATCTCCCTATCCCTTTGTATCTGCCCTTGCAACCTTTCCCCCAAAATAAAATCAAATAAAATTTAAGAGAAAAGAAAAAGAAAACTCTCAGTGTGGAAGCTGTAGCGTGACAGTGAGTCACACAGCATACCCTTTAGTCCATATATCTTTGCTTGCAAGTATTCATTGCAATGACTCATTAGTCTGGTTCAAGGTCTCTGGCTTCTGCTATACTATCTATACTGGGCCCCCGCTGGAAGTCCTCTAGGATATCCTGTTGTTGTCCTGTGTCATGGAGATCCTGCAGCTTTGGGTCTGCAGGGATGGCCCCTTCATATGTCTCAGCAGATCACAGATGGGGCAGATGTTGGGGTGGGCCAACTCAACCATGGTTCTGGGCCTGGGTAGTTGTAAGGTTTGTCAGCCCACCAGCTCTCCCCCACTCTCATGACCTGTGAGGGGCTCCAGAAAGTAGCCCCTAAACAGCTGCTAGACTTGGTCACATTTGCATAGTCAACAAATAATTAATTGTGACTTTGTGACAAGCTTCACATTAGGCATTGGGGAGCCTGTGGTAAGTGTAGGGTCTAACACAAGTGACAGACATTGGCTAAATGCCCACACAGATAAAAGCAAATTGTCCACTGTGACATAAATCCACAAAAATGAGTGGCAAGCTGAGGATTAGTTTGACAACATAGACCTTCCCTGGGAGAGTCACAACAGAGCTGCTAAAGAGTGAGTGGGGGTTAGGCGGGGGAGCCAGTAGAAAAGGCACGTGTTGGGGGAATCGGGTGTTGACATACAAAAGCCCCAAGGGAGACAATGCTTGGCAGGTAGGAAGAATAAAATACATCCTCTCTCTCATGGGATGAAGCAAGATGAGAAAGAGGCAGATGAGCCCAGACCTCAAAGGCTGCTGGGATACCAAATGAAAGACATGCACCTTGACCCTGAGAATGGCGGAAAACCATAGAATGGTCTGAAGTCTGCAGGAGGCATATACCAATACTGGTTTTGAGATCACTTCTGCTGTAGCTGTAAAACTGTTCAACCTAGCCTGAGGAAGGGTTACCTATGTGAGTGCTAGGTCTTGAGAGAGCCATAACAAGTCAAAGCCTGTACTTACAGGTGTTCTCAATAGCTCAGCATTGTGCATGAGATCTCTCGGACATGGAAGGTAGCCGTATATGATACCCTTTTGACAGATGA